TCTCTATATATAAGCTTTACTGGTTTTGTTTCTCAAGAGAACCCACATGCAAATCATTCAACCCAGAGCGATGCACCCACATACTCTACAGAGATAAATCCCTTGGAGCAATTGGCCATGGGGCACCAGAGGGCCAACATTCACATGAAGGAAAAGCAGGACATACTGGAGTGCATAACTAAGAAGGGCACGGGGTGGGGGAGGGTTACAGGGAAGGGAGAGGAGGACAGTGGGTTAGGGTGGGGAATGGTAATTGGGGAGTGAAACTGAATATATATGAAATATTGCGTATAAAACAAATTCTGCTCTGTAAATTTGCACGTAAAGCACAATAAAAAAAAATAGAGAAAGAAATAAAGACAAAAAAATAAATAAATAAAGAGGCTTTCTCTAATGTCGAGTTGGAAGGTCCCATTTCCACTTCAGTTTTTTCAGACAAAGAATGTGCCCACACCATTCCAGAGAGATATGTTTTTATATCTTTGTGATAAAATATCTCTCTGCTCTCAGGGTCCAAGTTGTTTTACAGAATACTATTTACTCATTGTTCATTTATTCTATTGGGTTTAAATCCTGATTCTGCATCTTACTGCCTTAAGAATGTTATTAAGCTGGACAATACTTCAGTTTCTTCATCTGTAAAGTGGGAATAATCATAATGTGGGTTATATACTGTAAGATTATTATAAGGATGGAATAAGTTAATGGATGTGAAACACTTACCTGTGTAAGCATACTGCACCAACGAATTAAGTGCATTTGGATCCACCCCTTCCATCTTGATCTCTTCTTGTTTGGCTTCAAGCACATCATTAGTAAACATTGCAGCAAAATAATCAGACACTGCACTGAGAACCAACCTGGAAACAAAAATATTTGAGAGGATCTTAATTAAGTTCATAATCTCAAAGTCACTGAAAAGTACGAAATGCAATCAGTAAGTTTTTAACACTGATGAACCAGACTTTTGGTTATTTCATGGTGCTCTGAGAGGAATATACCACAAATGGGATGGCTTTAACAAGCAGTTTACTCTCTTACAATTTTGGAGGCTTGAAGTCTGAGTTCAAAGTGCCAGGTTCTAGGGCCTGAGTGAGAGCCCATTGACCTTGGGCTTCAGCTCTGCCTCCTGCTCCCAGCCCACTGAAGGCAGAGGCTTTTCTTCACTCAGGCAGCTACTGGCTGCTGAAGCTGACAAAGCCAAGGTCAACAAGTAAAAAGGCACAATCCCAATGTTACCAAACAACATGGCAGGCCACCAATTCAAGTACAGAAAAAGTCCCAAGATTGGTGGGGCATAGCAAGCTGACTAATGACTTGGCTACATGCAGGGTTCAAGCATACCAAAAAAAAGTGGAGAACTTCCTTAAAAACTTTCTACACTGGAAGCCCACATCCCTAAAGCAGCTACTCAGCTTCTCCA